TACAGAGATTAAATAAGAATATGGGATATCGTATCATCGGTTAAATAACCTTATATTCATTTTGTTAATATTAAATTATTATATAAACGCATTTTTAAAGTTTTATTTTACAGTTAGTTTAGTTATGTTACTAAGATTAGGCCAGGGTTGAATTCAGATCCTCAAAAATATTGTACACGGAAAATAACATAAGGTATACTATTTTTCAAAAATTATATCATGTTTGACGTTTCATGTTTCTTTTTTCCCATGTGCGCACTTATACGTTTCGTTTTTTGCAGGTTTTATTTTTATTTCTTCTTAATTTTTGTTTAAACAACTTAGTGTAAGTTAAATTTTGAATATTGGTACCTAATATATTTTATATTATTGAATATCTCTATTAAGAGTAAAATGAAAAGAGTACAAAAGAAATCATATCTGCTTAATTGAATCTGAAAATCTGATTCATAAAATATTTTGAAATTCTCTTTTTAAAACGATTGCTTAGAGCTTAGAGTTTTTATCGTGGTAGCCTCTCATTATAGTTGTATAAAGGATGCAACATAAATGCATCGATCAAGCACCGATTGACCAGAAAGGGAGCTTCTATTTTTCTATTCTAATTTTATGAAAAAAAAAACGCGGTACTCATGTACAATACAGAAATTTTAGATGTAGTAGGGTTAATATTAAAAAGTAAAAGGACCCAATAATAATACAAGTCGACCTTTAGGTAAAATTATGGTATTTTCGCTTAGTTACTACTATGTAGTATCGTAATAATTTACGATACTACATACTACAAACTATGAAATAATGGTCCAATTAGGATAATAATTATACTTCAAAATTTGACCCTGGTTACGTCGTGTTATGATATGACGTTTGTATCACTACAGAAGCGCTACTTTTTCTTGTATGAAAAAGTTATGAGTAAAATATTTAGATGGTATCCTTTCTTTTGAAATCATTGGTTTATTTTGTTTACTAAATTGTCATTTGAAGGCTTCCTGTCCTATTTTAGAATCGCTAGGAGCTTAGAATAGGTAAAATTAAACAAGATTAAATCCGTCAAAGTAGTTTTAAGTGATATTAAAAAGATAAAGTATTTCGTTTCGTTTGTTTTGTTGCGTGGGCAACGATAATAATTATCCGTCATCGTGCTCAAGTCGCGTGAAGTTGAAGGTATTGTTGCGATGTTCAACAGCCATGACATAGATTTCGGTCCCCAAACTGAGCATAACCTGTGTGTTGTGTGACATGTTATAAAAATCATAATACGGTGATATTATGTAACAATAAACGCAAATTAAATGAAATTGTCGGCTTGCTAAAGGGAATTTCGTTAGTAAGGTTTTTAAATAGGGTTGATATTGTCTGTTTGCAGTGTGACGCCCTAGACGAAATTTTATCAGTTAAATTAGTAATATATTGAAAATAAATCAGACAAGGAGAAACCTTAACCACAAGCATGTATACGTATGTAAACGAATGTAAAGGAGGCGAGAGAGGTGTGTCAGGAACACGCCAAATGAAAGTATGGAGTCTCTGCCTACCCCTCTGGGTACCAGGCGTGAGTGTTTATGAATGTAGAGTAAGGTAGGGGAAGACTAAAATAGTTTCTTACCAAACCTTAAAAAATATATATTGTATATTATGTCAAATCTATATATGTATAAAAATATATTTCTGTTCGATAGTCCCGCAAAACCTCAAAAACAGCTCGACCGATTTTGATGAAATTATTTGCGTGTGTTATAGTTTGATTCACAATTGGACTCGGCATGTGGCGGGGTTGTCGATATGCAGAAATCACTCGTGCAAAACAGGGGCGGATTTCTAATGTACAATACAATGCTAACTCTTTATTGCTTTGCTCTTAAAATTTTATACTTTCTTTTTACTTTCCCCTGGGTAATATTAGGTCTAGTTTCACCTAATTTCATTTGTGTTTTTTTTTAATAGGATGAGGTGACAAACGAGCACACAGTCCACATGATAAAACATAAGTGGTTGCTCTGGCTCATAGACATCTACATCTATCCTCGATTACGAATCAAAATGCAGATGCGTTGTCACCCGTGAGGACTAAGATGGAATGCCTCTTTTCCAGTAAAAAGGGTCTCCGGTTCACTACACTAATCATATGAAAAACTGCAGCATTAAGCTACTATTTTACGCTGGTATTCTGTGAGAGCGTGGTCCTCCCCGGTCGAGCCGACCCATTCGTGCTACAACTATACTACTAATACAACTGCAGCGTGGCTCTACCACGTATAAAGTTTGATAGATAGAAATTAAAAATACCTTACGTATATCTCTCGCAGTCCTATAGTAACAAAGTAACATGCATGTACAAAATCACTCTCCGGGATCCTAAAAAGCACCCATCCTAAAAAATCGTATAACGGTGTACTTTGTGGAGACTGTATATGTTGCAACTCCTACCACACTTGCATTCCGCACGGGTCTGAAGCTATTGTAAATGCGTTATATTTGTAATTACTCATTACATCATTAGTATTGTAAAAAGAAGATATAATAATACAAATATTGTACGCGCCTGTGGTACCGGATGCTTAAAAGCACCACCCCATCTCTTATCGATGGGTGTCGTAGTAGGCAACTAAGAGATTCACTCACGTTAGTGGCTGCAATGTTTTCTTAGTATTAAACAAGCATACCGTGAAAGTAACGCATTCCTAAGGAGGGTCATTCGTTAACTTTGCGAAAAACCTTGCGCAACATGGATATAGGTTGGAATTTGTGAAAGATTATTATTATTGAGATTATTATATATATTTTTTTGTGTTATACTTGCTACCGTGGTTGCTACAAGGACGCAATGCGATAGAAGACAGTGCTCTCAGCAACTTTCTCTACAAATGCATATGCCTCGAAAATGTGGAATAACAAACCACTTAGGCAGCTAAGCTCTATTACTAGCTTTAAAAGTCACTTATAACAGTACTTATTAAATTCACAAAAATACCTAAGCACGGTTAACACTAACACTAACATGTCCTATACTGAACATTAACACTAACATTGATCTTTTTGTTGATGTTATTATGATGGTACAGTCTCACGCGCTGTATCTTTTTAATAATTAAGTATTTCATTTGTATCTAGTTATATATTGTACTATAACTATTTTATTAATGATTTATTATTAGGTACTTATATATGTTTTTTTCATAGAATTCACGTATACTGATTGTTCTTGCAGGAGTACACGGTGACTGGTTCCGTAGGTGAAGACGAATGCGATTCATGGGCTAATAGAAAATCAGTGTTAGGTTTCTAACCTGACATCATGCTGAATTAGTTCCTGTCTTTTGGACAATTGATTTTAAAACATTTCTTGGCACTAATTCACACGGGTCTTTTTTTCACTTTCGGATAGCAAACGAGGGATCCATTGACAACAGAGCTTCTTCACTCCAAGATATTGATGTAAGATGCTCCACGAACTAATGCTTACAATCTTTTCGATGTCCGTATATGTGATTCGTGTGTCTTCTCGCACCAATATTTCAGTAGTCCATAAATTTTCAGCCGTTACTGCTGTTTGCGGGGCACCAGTTCTTTGGACATCTTTAAGGTTAATTTTACCCCTTTTGAATTCAGCAAACCACCTAAAAATTGTTGCGCGTGATGGAGCTCAGTCCTGTCTTGCTGATTGTAGCTGTTGTAAACTGAATTATTCGGTTAAACCAAATTTAAAATCATAATAGATCATAGCGCGCAAATTTTCACGGTTAAGATCCATCGTTTTAAATGAAAAACTTGGGAAGCATTGCAGGGAAATTAATAGAACTTTATTTTTATTTAAATATTGAGCAATTGGCTTATGGAGTTCTATTTTTAAATAATTTGCTTTTTGGAAACATATAACACGGGTGCGTTCCATTTTTAAATTTCGAGCATATCAAAATTTATTGAGTGAACTACGTATATATATTATACGTACATTTGTTTCCGGTTTATTCGAACTTCATTACGTTTTGTTCTCATTCTTTATCTCCGCTTAGTGTTATGATTGACTGGGAATTCCTTTTTAAGCATTAAGTCCGCCATATGTACAATTTTATTTTCTGTGCATAAAATTTGAAAAAAAAATATTTTCAGATTGATCTTTATCCTATATCCTTAGAGCTCAAAGGATATTTTTATTGTTTTCTGTAACATATAAAAAAATAGCAATTAAGCAGATTTCTGTCTAAGGTAGGCAGAAAAACTTCCTTTGGGATTCTGGTCAGTTCTCATTCTTTCATTTATGTGGAAATTGAGGCAAACCTTGCTTCCAGTAAAGAAGAAATATGATTAAGATCTTTAGATTTGCTTCTTGAATATATATATATATACATATATGTGTGTGTGTGTGTGTGTGTGTGTGTGTATGTGTGTATGTATAAATGTATGTGTGTGTATGTTTGTGTACTACTATTGTTTATGTATAAATTCAACGTGGCAATGAGAAGTGCTCCTTATTTTAAATATTTTTCTTTTATCGACCAAATATTTTACTAACAACTAGTATATATGCCGATCCTGCACTTACACTTTTTTTTATTATGTGCGAGCTGCTATGCAGGTCTAGGCAGAGAGACCAGTATCACTGCGACCTAGAACATCTATTGTGATCGCTGCTATGGCTATAGTTCACTGCTAAGCCCTATGTCTTCAATGAATCGAAGGAGTTGCTTAGCCGTGAGCAATTTCACTTCTTCTGGGCGGAGTAGATAGTGTCCCAGATGAGTGTTACGTTTGCGCATTAAGGTTCCGCAATCAGTTAGGATGTGTAGAGGCGTTTCTTCCGTTATGGAACAGAACCGACACATCCTTGAATTGCTTAGTCCCAGGATGGACATGTGCTTTTTAAGACAACAGTGTCCAGTTAGGGCTCTTGCCAGAATGCGCAATTTATTTTTACTTAATCCCAGGGCTTCTGAAGCGAATTTATGATCAAAAGCCCGGATTAAGGTTTTAGAATGTTTTAAGCCTGGTGTGTCAGATCAGATCTTAAGTGATTTATTGTGATAAAGAGTTTCAAGGGTCAATCGGGCTAGGCTTCTTGAGATTCCACAAAATGGCTCGTGTCCAAATTGTGTGCACTTTGAGCACTCCCGTGCAAGTTTGTCGGCAATTTCGTTGCCTACAATACCCTCGTGACCCGGAACCCATCTTAAAACGACCCTGTTGTTACAACCCAGGGCGTTTAAACGGTTCACGCAGTCTCCAATTAGCTTTGAGTTCACTAAGTTTGATCTCAGCGCTAGCAGTGCTGCTTGACTATCAGAGTTTATGTAAATTTTATGGTTGACGTAGTGTTTTTGCAGATTGATTTCTACAGACTGGAAGATAGAGGTGTATCTACCCAAATTCATAATAAGTTTGAATTTGGGGCGTTCCCTGTAAATTCCAAAGCCTACGTCGAGGCCCATTTTAGACCCATCGGTATACCATATGAGGCTACCGACCTCACAGATAACCTGGCCATTCAGCCAGTCTTCTCTGGAGGGTAATTCCACTATATACTTTTTATCAAAAGTGTATAGTGGACTCATGATATCTGAGATCATGCATAAGACCGGTGATTCCTTAATTGAGTCGAGCATGGATCTCAATCTGTAGGAGAGCAAGCTCAGACCGCCCTGGGCGTTAATTCTATACAAACTAGCCCTCGTCTCCTTGTCTAGATACAGATTAAGGGGCGTAAGGCATAGAAGTGCATTAAGAGCCGCTCCAGGCGATGATAGCATAGCTCCAGTTGCCATTAGGCAGGCATTCCTTTGTAGACTATTTAGTCTGTCCGCAGTCGTCTTTTAGTTGGCCTTGTTACACCAGACAATAGAGGCTTAGGTGAGAATCGGCCTCACTATACTGCTGTACAGCCATAAAACCATACTGGGACGCAAGCCCCAGTTGTTCCCGACCAAACGAATGCACGAACCTAAAGCAATTTTTGCCTTATGGCATACGTTGCTAAGGTGAGAGTTCCACGTTAGTTTTTGGTCGATTGTTACGCCCAAGTACTTAACTTCCGTGGAAAATGGTACTTCTTTGCCATAAATTTTTGGTTGGACTAATTTGTCCAATCGTCTCTTTTTGGTAAAGGGTATTATAACAGTTTTATCAGAATTAACTGATAAACTGTTATCCCTACACCAGTTATTTATGGTGTTTAGGGCTCTTTGTATTATTGACGAAAATCTACTTTGGCAAAAGCCCCTTGCAATGATCACAAGGTCATCAGCATAACCCAATGTGTCAATGCGTAGGTCTGCCATTTTGTACAATAGTTGTTCAACCGCAAGAGTCCAAAGAAGGGGTGACAAAACACCTCCTTGTGGGCAGCCTCTTGTGGTTGCAACCTCAATCGAAGTTTGAAACAGCGCTATTTTTGCCTTTCTGTTTGAGAGCATCGACTTCACCCATCTGATGGTTGTGGGGTCAACATTTTTATATGTTAGGCCCCCAATCAGCAGTGATGTGGGGCTACTGTCGAAGGCGCCCTCAATATCTAGAAAAGCACAAAGAGCTATTTCTTTATCCTCCAGTGATTTTTCGACCCTCTCAATGACACTGATCAGGGCTGTTTCCGTAGATTTGCCTCTGCGGTAAGCATGCTAGTTGTAATGTATGGGCCTCGTAGCTAGAGCTACATCCCTTATATATCTATCTATAACCTTTTCCAATGCCTTAAGAAGAAATGAAGATAGGCTTATAGGTCTAAAGGACTTTGGTAAAGCGTAGTCCTTTCTACCACCCTTAGGTATAAATAGAACCTTGACAATTGTCCATCGTTCTGGGATATATCCCCATGCAAAACTTGCTCTGAACATTTTCACCAGATAAGGAAGAAGGATGTCGATACCCCTCTGTAGTTGAATGGGAAATATTCCATCTTCCCCGCTTGATTTAAGTGGTTCAAAGAGTCAACAACCCACTGCACCAGGTTTGGCCTTATTATCTTTGCAGCCCTACGCCAGTCCTCATTGCAAGGCCTTCGTAGGGCTCTGAAAGAGTTCAAGGCTGAAGTCTTGTATGACCCCGATTTAAGAAGCCCGATCTGATTAGGTATAGCTTTCGATAGCATCTTGTGTAGTCTTGCACTGCGAGGCAAAGACTCAACTTCCTCGCATAGCTTCCTCCACGATGCTCTCTTGGCTTTCCTAATTTCTTTATTATATTCAGTTAGGGCTGGACTATAAATGTCCCACTCTTTGGTTTTCTTAGCCCTATTAAATAGTTTCCTGGTCTTTTCCCTAAGGTATTTCAGCTTAGAATTCTACCAAGAAACTTTTCGTGTTGAGGTCTTGGTTTTAACGGGACAACTGTCCTCGAAGGCTTCACGTTACCTACGGTTACTGTCTCCGTCGCTTACTCCAGACCTTCAATTGTTTTGATGCTTTTAGGAAACGTTTCCAAATTCCTCCTTAGGCTATCTCTATAGATACCCCAGGAGGTCGCTTTCGGATCCCTAAAATAACGGTTTCTAAGGATGGTGATGCTCCAATCACAAACTTAATGTGCTTGTGATCAGACATCGAGTTTTCGCTACTAACATGCCAGTCATTTATCCGCCTGGACATGTTATTGGTAGCAAAGGTTAAGTCTAACACTTCTTGCCTAGCAAGCGTTACAAAGGTTGGTGTACAACCTAAGTTTAGGCTTACCAGGTGGTTGGAGATAAGAAAATCATAAAGTTACTCACCTCTTTGGTAGATGTTAATGCTCCTCCAGGCTGTGTGGTGAACATTAGCGTCACATCCTACCACAAGTTCGGCGTTGTGTTTTCGAGTGAACTCCGCCACTCGCTCTAATTCGATGGAAGGATCTGCGTTCTCGCCGAGAAGACAGGCTGAGCAAATAATTACTCTGGCCCCTGTGCATCCCTTGAGATTTATGAAGGCTGTAACCAGGTCATCATTGCAGTACTCTGGAACAGCTAAAAGTTCAATATTTTTATTATAAATTATACAAGCTCTGGGTCTACTGCCTTTGGTATTGACAAGAATCTTACCGTCAGCCGCCAATCCCAGAACTTGACCGTTGGCCACCCAAGGCTCTTGTATAAGGGCGAGGTCAATGTTGTCCTCTGTAAAGCAAACCTCCACCACGGCAGAAGCAGCTGCTGCATGGTGAAGATTTGCTTGGAAGACCCTCGCCTTACGCTTGGGTTTAGCCATTTATGGGCGTGGGGGGGCAGGGGTCTTTTCCGCCTGTTGAGGACGAGGACGTCCTTTTCCTGCGAACTTGACCCCCGCCTTACCTTTCTTCGAACCGCTCCCACCTCCCCTCCCTCCCAGCCTGGACGACACCAGCGGAGGCCGTCGGACCGAGGCGAAATCTGCACCTTGGGTCTTCGTCACTCTCACCGGTAGCGTTCCAGCCTCACCCCGAGAGGTGGAGGGCTGAGGGGATTGGGGTTGGGGTTGAGGCGGTTCGGGCTCCATTGCCGCGTCAGAGCCTCCCCTGACTTTAAAAGTTATCATATTAAAGCCAAGGATGACCCTGCCGCCTGCCTTCCGAAGAGTCTCCGCCGATGGGTCGTACAGAGAAAAGGTTACTAAGAACCCATTCTCCTCGTCGCTACGGTGGAGGATTCTCCAGAGCTCAGTATGGAGCCCTTCATTTTGTGCCCTCAACAGCACAGCCGCCTTCTCTGGAGGGTCGGCTTCGCTGCGGGACAAGTAGGTAATGCCCACCGTAGGCTTAGGCAGTTCGCCCTCGGGTATTATCGAGAGCTCTGCCTCCGGCCAGGGCTTTAGTTTTCCGATTTCACCCACAATCCAGTCCTGGCTTGCCTTATTCAGGCACGTTACCAGAATCCAACCTGGCTTGTGTGTGAAACCGGAAAATTTTGGGTCCATTCCCGGTTGCGACTCACAGGCTGTCTTAGCGATGGCCTGCGTTAGTGCCCGGTGGGCCAGCCGCATCTGCTCTACACTTATAGGATTCGAATTGCGAATTCCTATACGAGCGGAGCGAGGTACGGCACTGAAGCTGAGCTTCTTCTCCTCCGTTGCCAGCTTCACAGTCTTCCTGGGCTGGTCTTTGGGGGACTCTTCCTCAGACCGACTGCGTTTTTTCGCCGTCGGAACTGGGGGAGGCTTGGGCAGAAGAATTTCGTCCCAAGGTTTCTGGCAGAGAGAGAGGGCCTCTTCGGCTCCAATCTCAGCTGCTATCAGCCTTATATACCTTTATCTCGCAGCCCCACTAAGCTTATAAGGCCTAGCGAACTTTTTCTTTTCCCCTCACTGGTTCGTTTCCGATTGTGGTTCGGCTGCAAACGTGTCCTCCACTTCACGGCTCGTCCCAGGTTGGGGCGCACTGTTGCAGGGTGTTGGTGAGGCTAAAAGAGCCTCTTCCAAACCTGCAGCTAATTCCATTAAAGGAGACTTCTTACTGTCTTTTACAAAATGTCGGTTTTCATCCATTGTGTTCCCACGAGTAGCTAGGGAAATACTTGGTCACCCCCGGCAGAGCCCCGCATGCCGAGAGAAGGGCTAAAACCCATGCATCGCAAACGAGCCTACCCGAGACCAGGGCGATTCGCCCTGGTCTCGGGTAGGCACCGTTTGCGACTGGACTCCCACCAGCCACGCATCCTACGGCACGGTACGCTTGACACCTTGGATTGGGTTGGGATAGGAAAAGGGGGAGGGATTAAAGAAAAGAAAAAGAGGATCGTCCGAGTGTTTCTGTTCTGTCTGTTTCCTATTGAACCAGACCAAATAACAGGCGGCAACCACGTGAAGGAGAACTCCTCAGACTTGCCCTGGGGATCAAGACGACCGAGCTCTCCCTCAGAGCCATACGCCAAACTGCTCGCCGGACAGGAGAGCAGAATAGGTGTTAATCTAGTCCTATTTATAATAAAAAAAAGTTAGGAGTAGAATAACCCCCGCCCCACTTACACTTACTTACACTTAACATTTTAAGATCATTGACATTATACGTGAAAAAACCAGGCACGGGGGTGAGACACCGCCAACTTCCTGACTTCGGGCAGCTACTGAGAATTTCTTGACGGAAAAAATCAATAAATTGATTTATTTTGTCCCGACCCGGGATTTGAACCCAGGACCTCACTGTCAGCTGTCACACTACTACAACCACTAGCCCAACGGGGAAGTCAAAATTAAAAATAAATATTAAAAGTGCCTAAATACTTATAAGGGAAAAATAATTTTTGGTAACAAGAGGCGCGCGTCAGCTGGTTCTAAAAATGTTAGTTGCAACGATGTGTCGGCCGGATTATATTCGGAAATTTTGCCTATCTAGTTATATTTTGTAACATTTTACAAATACTTTCAAGGATAGCTTCTATTGCACTTACACAAAACACCATATTATTTTCCAGACGGTAAAAATAGTCACCCAGTATATATATAATTCTTTTGTCCATGTGTATGTGAATAAACCCCTCCAATAAACTCCTCTAAACGTCGTAAAGTGGCTGCAATTTGAATTTTGATTGAATTTTGAGACAAATTTTGATGAAATTTTGTGTGAATTAGATCCGGTAGGTAGCAATGTTGTCGAGATCCAGAAATCGTTTCTGCCCAGTCAAAATAAGCGCAGCGCAGTTATAATAATAAAATCACAATATGCAGATCTAGAAACTCTTTTACTTAAGCAAATAATATACTGTAATTTAAGCGTATAATTTAATTTTAATATTGCTAATTATAATAAACAGTATTTATTTTTTATTTACTACCAGCTCATTTGATAGTCATTTCTACAAAATATATGATTACTTTCTTAA